TTTATAATTTTTTCTTCTTTTGCTTTGATATTATTTATGCTCAATATTAGATTCTTAAAATAAGCATAATGTTTTCCTGTTTTTGATATTTTGAATTTTTTTAACTCAGACTATTAATTTTTTCTATGTATCTGTCCTATTAAGATCATGTAAGTCTGTTCCAGCTCCATCCATGTAAACATGTAGGAGGTAAAGTCTCCAATGTACTCAGTCTTACTATGAAACCAATTTATAGCTTTCTTATGGAAGCTATAACCCAATTATAGCCCAAGAAGAAGGGGAAAGTGGGGAGGGAAGAAAGGGGAGAGGGAGGTTGGGTGGAGGGAGAGTAATTGGTGGGACCACATCTACAGTGCATCTCACAAGGGTACATGTGAAATTTACTAGATGTAGAATATAAATGTCTTAACACAATAACTAAGGGGGTGCCGTGAAGGCAACGTTGACCAGTTGATGAAAATATTTCAAATTGTATATAAAACCAGCACACTGTACCCCCTGATTGCATGAAAATATTTCAAATTGTATATAAAACCAGCACATTGTACCCCCTGATGCATAGCTGTACACAGCTATGATTTAAAAGAAAAAAAGAACATGTGAATTGCACATTTTGTGAGCCTATGTATTTAAAAAAGAAGAAAAACAACAATGAAAACAAAATGACATCTTTGGTTTTTTTGTTTTTGTTTTTGTTTTTGAGACAGAGCCTCAAGCTGTCCCACTGGGTAGAGTGCTGTGGCATCACAGCTCACAGCAACCTCCAACTCCTGGGCTCAAGCGAGTCTTCTGCCTCGGCCTCCCAAGTAGCTGGGACCGCAGGCACCCGCTACAACGCCCGGCTATTTTTTGGTTGAAGCCATCATTGTTGTTTGGTGGGCCCGGGCTGGATTCGAACCTGCCAGCTCAGGTGTATGTGGCCGGTGCCTTAGCCGCTTGAGCCACAGGCGCTGAGCCCAAAATGACATCTTTGTTCGGTGAAAACTCTGACTCCCCAACATTGTCCTTTCAGAGCTTTGACATTTTGGATACATTTTTTCCCCTGATATTAGTACTACAAAGAATCAGACTGAGGCTAGACTGATTTCGTTCCTTTTTACTCCATCTGCTTCTGGGAAGGAATGCTTGTGGAATTATGTTTTATGTAAACCTACATTTTAGTTTGCCATGTGATGTTTTAGTATGAGTCTTTTTTCAAAATTTTGTCAATCAGCACTTCCTAACTCAAGGCTTTAATCAACGTCAAAAATTAAATGTAATGGTGCCTTTGATGATTGTAACTTGTAGGATTGTTCAGTCTCTTTGTCAATGGCACCGGTAATTATTAGGCTACATCACTTTGAAATGACTCCTGGTCGTATCTTGATCCCTTTTCATCTCACGTTATCTTTATAGTTCATCCTGCTGTCCTTTCATCATTTCTTGGTCCAATCTGATGGCTTCTGCCCTTGTTTCCTGGAAATTATGCTTACTGGACACTACTAAACTTACAAAATAGGTTTCCCTTGTGTTCTCCCGGTAACTGTAATTCGCAGTATTCAAATTAGCATGCAATGTCAGGAAGAGTCTCTCTTTTTGTATTTCTACCAGTTTGTTTTTTGCTGTTTTCATTCTTCTTTTGTAATTGTGACAGCAATTTTTGTTTCTTAAAATACAGGTAGGACTTTTGAGTTTGTTCTTACCTTCTATGTTCATCTACTATTTTTAGTTTGTTAGCTATTTGAATCTCATTCTCAGATCTGGAAAGCAGATCCATGTGCATAATAACGGCTTCATGTGCAGGGTCTAGCCATTTGGACAGGGTATAAAGCCTCTGGACTGATGTGCAACTTTCTCCTTACCATTTCCAATGCCTTGAATAGACTAAATGCATGAAAACATGCCACTCTCTCTCTCTCTTTGTTTTTCTGAGTGTATTTATTTTTATTTTATTTTATTTTACAACAAAGTCTCACTTTGTTGCCCTAAGTAGAGTGCCCTGGTATCATAGCTCACAGCAACCTCTAACTCTAAATCACGTAAGTGATTCTCTTGCCTCAGCCCAGCCTCCCAAGTAGCTGGGACTACAGGCGCCCGCCACAACCCCCAGCTATTTTTTTGTTACAGCTATCATTGTTTTTTAGCTGGCCGAGCTCAGTTTGAACTCACCAACCTGGGTGTATGTGGCTGGTGCCTTAACTGCTATGCTATAGGCGCCAAGCCAAATGCCACTCTCAGTATGCATTTCTACTCGGGCTTGAATTAGATAATTTACCTTTACCTCTATATGGGTCATTACGAAAACTTTGAGATACACAAAAATCAAGAAATGTACAATCCACGCTGACAGAAGGAAATAAAGCTTTCCTAGCAACACTGATAAGCTGAGCACATTGAAACTTGCCAAGGTGAGTCAGAAGGGACACACTCAGCTGTGTTTCTTAGAAGTGAAATAGGGTGCATAACACAGTCTGTCTCAAAACTTCTGTAGTGACCTACTTAACTTGTGAAATTTTATTCTTGACAATTCACTATGTTACTTTCAATTTCTCTCCACATTCTACCTGGCTGTTTTTGA